CAGGGGCGCCGGGTAGAAACCCGCCGCCTGGTGCCGCTGGCCCCACGGCACCAGCTGTCCAGCCTGCAACCGCCAGAGGGTGCCCAAAGGGACACGCCAGGAGCCGCCAGCAAACGACACGACTGGACAGACCCAGAGGTGGCTCCAAGCCTCCAGCCAACCCGCTGAAACAGCAGCGTGGGCGCCCACGCGGCGTCCTGCGTCCCGAGCCCGGGGCTTACTGAGCCGTGGCAAGAACGCGCCCTCGGTGTAGGGCCAGCGGGCGGCACAGGGCAGTGAGTAGCCGCGCGACGGGGCGCACAGAGCAGAGCCCAGGCCGCAGACGCCTCACTCGGCCACCCGAAGTCTATTTTCTGTCCTTCCAGCACCCCAGCAGATGCGAGGTCGGGCACAGAAGAGAGCCGGCGACAGCGGGGTGGCCACGCGGAGCCGAGGTGTCCCGGCAGGGGCGTCCGCCCCCACCCGCGGCCCAGAGGCGCCCGGGCAGCGGCCCCGCAGCCCCGTGTCCTCAGCTGCAGGGGCTCAGCGTGGAGAGAGAACATTCGCATTCGGGAAGTGAGGCTCGGAACGCCAGGAGGGGCTGGTGTTCCCGTGTTCGAGCGCAGGTGAGTCGAGAGGTCACAGGGGAGGCTATGGCTTGTCTGCCCGCTGGGGTGGCCGCCCGGACCAGGCCCTCCACCGGCCTCCTGGCGGGGCCGCCTGGGAGCAGGGGGCGTCCACACCGCGCCCTCCCGTCTGCTCGCAGGCCAAGGCCCCGCCAGGCGCCCCAGGGCTGCTCTACCTCAACATATTGTATCAAATATATAATTTGACTGAAAACTGCCTTGCAAAAATAAAATTTAAATCACCCTGCAGATCAATGTAAACTGACATTGCTGCTTCTATAGGAAAAACAATTCACCCAGAAAAATTACATTTGTGGCTTTCAAAAATAAATCATCCAGCAAACTTGCAGGTAAACATTAGTTAATTTATAAAAGTTGGGGAAAGTCATTTCTGCCCATCAGGTACCACCGCCCTGCGATATCCGCCTGGGCCAAATCAAACCAGAGCAGGAGGGAAAAGCAAACCACGACAGCCGCACTCGCGGCGACGAAGACCCGGGACCGCCCGCCGCGAGGCCCTCACGGCGCCCCACGCCCGGCCAG